TTTCCAGATTGATAATGACGTAAGTTTTTGAATGACTATTCATTCTTGTATCAGATTTCTCCCAATTCCAGCTGCTAAATCTGAGTTAGTGTTACAGTGGGAGACTTTTTTTAGAGCTAATGTTGAGTAAAATAAAATATATCAAAAGTCACTTTATTCAGCACTAAAATGGTTTGTAATTCAACAAGGCAGGAATAGATAATAATCATTTATAAACAACAGCAACGTGAATGTGTTTAAACTGTTTTGACAACTTCCGTTAGCATTATCATGTGTAGTATTGCTAACTAGACGTCTTTGTGTATTTTGTATACTTTTACATGTGTGTCATGTGTCAGTCTTCCAACAGACCACCAAAATTTCCAAACCCTTTAGTGTCATAGCAACCAACAACATGGAGTCTTCAAACAGACACTAAAATAAAAAAATAAAAAACTCTTCAACATTTTTGAAATAAAAATAGAAAATAGCAGAATCTGACTAAGGTAACAGCAGTTAGTCACCAAATCATTTTTAAGAAGTTTCAAGACACCCCCCAACATCAGCTACTGACCATTTATAACATCAGTTTTAAATGTCATTGCCACTTACAACTGAGTTATTTCATGATTTTCAAAATATATCTAGCTGAATGGAACAAATTGAAGTCTAATTTTAAAACAACTGTAAAAACACAAACCTCAATGTCTAAGGAAGAAAACCAGCATAGTAAATAAATAATAGTACAAATGTTTAAATACAGTTCATCAGACATATCAAACTATTTTTATTTAACCAAAATGTTTGTTTCTAATAGTAATACTTTAGAGACTGTGCCTCAAAATGTAATTCAACAAAGTAAAAGCAGTGCAGTTTATTTAATAATTCTTCTAAGAAAGTTGCTTCACTGATATTTCCAAAAAGAAGAAATATGTTTGTCATATAAATATATAGTAAATCTGATAGGGTTTGCTATGTTCATTCTGAGTTTTGTTTTATAAATCCTCATCTGTTATATGATAAAATACTTTTTATCTGATGATAAAAAGTATTTTATCATCAGAATAATTTGGGTGATAACTCAGAAAGTCACAGTTTTTTTCCATTATATAAATACATTTATCTACTTTGGAATGAAAAGTGTCAGCCCTCTCAAACTGCTCAGTTACTAAAGTTAGATTCACCAGCATAATACCTCTAGACATACCATGTGGGTTGACAGCATCATGAAACTATTTCTCTGCCAAAAGATATGACAGCAGCAGTCTTTCCTTAACGTTTCTGTGTGTGCGTGTTTGTCTCTGTGCGACAGCGTGCGTTATTGGTTATATAAGGCTGCGAGTTCAGACTTGGCGACATATGTTTCAGCAGGGTGGCATTTTGAGGGCATGGCACACACAACCACTACAGACATGTACACACAATACCGAGATAACCATCGAGACGTTATTGTCTGTGGATCATCTGGCTGTGGGCCTATAGAACGGGGAATGTGCGTGTGCGTGTGCTTGTGTGGGTGTCAGCAGTAGGGAAGCTTGTATCTGTACTTTTGTAATTACAGTCAGGAAATGTTTATTCATGTTTGATTGGGTGGGACCAGTCAGGACATTCAAACAAACTATTTGAGCATCCTGTTTAAAGTGGAGGGAAAAAAGGGGCGGAGCGTTGCTTGGTTATGTAACACCCAATTCTGACTTCCCCCACCTTAAAGAGCCTGCTTCTGCTCTTTGTCTTATTCCTACAATACTTTATATTAGGTGTCAACCAGCCGTTTAAATCCTTTTGTTTGTGTATAATCACTGTGGGTCATTCTGTGTCAATAAAAAGGAGGGAACAAAGCTAGTTCCAGATAACAATGACATATGACAATTAGGCTGCAAATCTGATTTGTAGTAATAATTTAGGAACTGTTTTATCCATTTGGTTGTTTGGTCATTCGGCGTTTAGGTAAGATAGACCATCTCTTTATTTTAAGCCTTTAAATTACTTAGACCTTTTACCTTTTACCATTTACCTTAAAATTGTGCAAATGGGGATTACAAAATGTTATTTGCTCAGTGGAAATGCTTCAATTTTGTAAAAAAAAAAAAAAAAAAAATCCTGTTTTTCGATTAAAAAGTTTGTTTTTCACTCGTGTTGAAATGAGAGTATTTCACAAAACTGCAATGGAAACATTTTTATTCTCATCACTTGAATCACATGATCTACTACTTGGATGTTACTAACACCAATGAAGAAGTGCTTGGAGGATAATGATGTGGTATGATTTTTAACCACTTAACACAAACATACACATATGATTGTAATTGTTTCTTATTTAATGGAAACATCACAATTGCAAACAAAGTTTTGTGCTCATCAGTAATGAAATGCAGCTACTGATGCCTACAAATTGGAATCACCAAGTGCTGTAAATGTAATAAAAAAAAAAAGAATTTACCTCAGCAGTATCATTATACCACTAGTGGAAATGTTATTACACATGAAAATTATTTCTAATATATGGAAAAAAAATTCAATCTATGAACAGATGTTGTTTGTGGCTCTTTTTGGCAAGTTTTCAACAATATAATTTAAAGTCAGCGTGACGCATCAAAATTATGAATTGTTACCACTGTTGTATTACATCCCTCAGTCCTACAAGAACTTCTCTAAATTTGAAAACATGCTTTTGTTTTTTGTCTGCTGCAGTGGAACATATTTAGTTTTATATTTAGTTTGTTCAAAAAAAGATAAAGTGAAGGAAAATGTGGAGAGCTTGTAGCCATGTCATCTGTCCCTTATTCAGGTATGTTATTTTAAAGGAATAGTTTTAGGTACAAAATATTGAGTAATTCTATTAAAAATATTTTTTCCTGAACGTTGAAATACCTTGTGCTGCTGTGAGCAAAATATTTTTTTTTTTTTTTATGTTTATACCACAAAAATTACTTCCTGCCAGGCTGGTATCTCTGTCTGACCTTTATTCTGCAACAAGAATTTTTTTAGTGTGACATAAAATTTTACAGTGTATATTGTACACTGATCTAGGGTTAGGGTTAGGGTTAAGTAGTCACAGAGTGTGTGCCAGATAAAAATAGTTGTGTTTGGTCGCCTGCAAAGACTTGTGTTAGACTCTTGCTCTATGAGACTTGGGCCAGAAATTTTTTCTAACCTGACCCTCAGGTAAAGACAACATTTTCTCTTGTAGATGTACCATCTAAACATAGATGAATCATCTTTTAAATAAAAGCCTAGTTCACACACCTCCTGTGTCTTTCTAAAGATTTTGAAAGAAAGAACAAACATTCGGTTTATGTTTCTCTAACTTAAATTGCAAATCCTGATTACTCCTGCTACGACTCTTGATAGACCTCTCTGCTTCTTATATACGCTGCTGTTTGTATCACAGCTATGTCTGCAACACACACACTCTCGCTTTTATTTCCTATATAAAGAAAGGGAGGTGGGCTTCAGGAAGTGGTTGTTTTTGCTCTACCAGAGGAATAAGAAGGTACAGAGGTCATGGTGTGCTGCAATCTGTGTTTTATGAAGGTATACGACACAAAAAGACTCAAAAGAAGGTGCTTTGGAAAAAAAATCACATTAAGGGAAGGGAACACTTAAACTGAGTTCTTGAACTTGTTATTGATTTCAAGATTTGGTATTGCAGCTTAGTGTCAAACTTTTACTTTTGATTCAGAAAAAAACATAACCACTTCCTAATAGTTATAACATATATAGGACCTTTCAAGATAGCCTGGGTCACTTTACACAGCAAGCACAAAGTGAAAGAGTAGTTGAAAAGTTAAAACACAAAATAGAGTCACCATAAACACTTAAACTGAGTTCTTGAACTTGTTATTCATTTCAAGATTTGGTATTGCAGATAGATATTATGAGTCATTTTAGGTAAATATAAGGGCAGGAAGTTTTGTTCAGGCAGATTGTTTGCCAGATGTTGAAGTAAATTTGGGATGCAATGAAGTTTGACTGGACAGGAGTGACTTGTAAAAGATGTTCTGTCAGCAAAAGTTGTTGTACAGATTGACACTCAAAATAGTCAACAGTTTCTTTGGAGAAAGTTTGAGGTGGACCAAAATGTTCTCTAATGCATACAAAGGGGTAGAATGACGGTGGGGTGTTTTGATAATGTTAGATTTTTTAAATATAAACAACACAAGTAAATAAATCAGTAAAAAATGTTTGGGATCAACATGTAGACATCTACCAAATCTTATAGGCCAAAAATGCATTAATTCACACCTACTGATGTGTTGGTCTACCATCAGTGAACTGTCATTTACATGAGTACCAAACATATTAGGTACCAGAACCAGAACAGGTCCAGCCCACATCCTTCTAAATCCGATCCGGCTGAATACAAAACATTGAGGAACACCAGTGGTGTCTGATCCCAGTGTATAGCCAGAGAAATGAGTGTAAATCAACTGAAGTTTGTGCCATTCATGCTAATAAATAGCATGCCCTTAAGGAGTAATGGGAGGAAATGTCAAAGCCCAAAGTCAGACTTAGAAGGATGAGAATGGTTCTTTCATCAGCTGCCATTAGGATGTTTTTGTAGATTTTAACTGAACCTGGAATTGTTGATAGAGTTGTTCGTCAGATATCTTTATTTATTCCGGTCAGAACTAAAGACATGAAACAACAAAAAATTCATTAAAATGAAGCCTTGGCGTTTATTCAAATTGGAAGATGTCTCTAATCTTCATACACAATGGCTCATTCTCTCTGACAGCAGTTACCAATGCCACAGATTTACATTTCTCAATTAAACTTTCTAATACCACACTCTCTCTCTCTCTGCGTGAGTCATGTCACTAAAACGCTCCAAGAAGAAATCAGTGTGGAGGAAAACCTGAACAATATCTGGAAGTCAATATATCCCCGATAAATATGTCTTCAGTAAACAATAATGGAATAAAGATTATTGTTCCTGTCATTCTGCTTCACTATAAATGACTGTAGCTACATCATAAATTCTGAGCATCTTTCATGGGTCTTCCATTCTCTGGGACTAGGACCGTCTGTTCTTCGTGATGGAGTACGTTAATGGAGGCGACCTGATGTTCCAAATCCAGCGGTCTAGAAAGTTTGACGAGATGCGCTCCCGATTCTACGCGGCTGAGGTCACGTCTGCGCTGATGTTCCTGCACCAGCATGGAGTCGTTTACAGGTAGGAGCCATGGCTTTCAACACGCTGGGACCGCAGCATGTTGAAAAGTTTGGTCTCTAGATCTTTTTTCTCTCTCCCCTCTGGTATCATTTGATATTCTGTGAAGTTTGATACTTATTTGATTTAGTGCCACCAATTGTGATCTGTGTTATGGAAGGATTCCTCTTCCAACAATATAACCATTAATGTGGAGATGTGAAGTAAATTGTCCCATTTAGCAAACTTGAGTATTGCAGCTCACACATATGTTTCATAAGTTTGTATTTTCCATCAGAAATCAGAACTGTTCTTATTTATGATTAAATAAATGGTTACAACCAAGTTAGAGGCGTCTTTTAAACTGCTTGTAATTATTCATAAGTAACTTCCTCTCACTTTTGATAACATCAAATGTTCTCAATAAATGATTATTCTTTCAAGAATCCATTTCATAAACAGCATTTCAAAAACTAAACAAAACTGCAGTGGTGGGCACAGTTTTGCTGATCTGTTAATTTTTAGGTCATTTTTAGTTTAGCACATTTGCTACCTTTGAGAACGTTTAGTGCATTTAGCTTCCTAAATATTTTCTCCAGTTATGAATAATTTTTCTGGATAAATTTGAAAGCGATAATTTTCTTGGCCGTTTGGTAAACTTCGGGCTGAATAAACTTTGACATTTGTGTTGATGTCAAAGTTTACTCTACCATGTGTGTCGGTTATGTCATCGACTATTAAGAATTCTTCAAGTAATCTGATTATTTTCATGCTTTTACTTTGGGATTTTTTTAGCAGTAACTTCAATGTCTCTCCTTTCTCTTTTTTTCAAGAACTTTATTTCTAAACAAGAAACATACTGGAACAAAATAAAACAGACAACACAGAACAAGGTACAAATAGAAATACAATATTTAAGGGAATTCTATAACAGCAGAACTAAAGTTTTTTTCTGTGAAAACATGAAAGTGACGGATCTTGACGGCTGAGCCAACAATGGTCAGGCTGGAGAGGTCACCATGACTCCAGCAGGAAGTTGTCTGATGTTATTTTTTCATGTCTGCTGTAGACCTTTCATGGTGCGCTCTGGACTTCAGTCACAGTGACACGATTCTAAATATTTTCTCCAGTTATGAAATTTTAAATTTTTGACCTTTTTGTGGATCTGCGTGTCAAGATTTTCTCGCTGTCCTTTTGTTTCATGCATCATCTGTCTGTGCGGACCCCTCAGCCATAATATCATTGTCAACTGACTGCAAACAAATAGTGGGTGTTTGCAGTCACAAATGTTCACAAAAGCAAGCAAAACACCATTGTGGCAGATGGATTATCAGTTTCATTTCCAAAAATATCTGCAAGAAGAAAAGGGACTTTATGTTTTGTGTGTATTTCTTTTCCTTCATACACTTAATTAGGTGTTTGGGGTTTTTGTGTTTGTGACTTTGTGTTTTCCTTACACTCTTTTTTAAAGAGGCTTTTTGTATTTGATAGATGACTTAACTTGAGACTTTTTTCAAATTTGGTTTTTCAACAAAATTGCTGTAAAACTATTGTACTACTGTAAATTAGCCCTACCACAAATTTGTTAAAATGTCCTCCCTACACTTTGGAGCCAGTAATCACTTAAGGAATGATTACACACCCTTCAAGTATTTTCCTCTTTAAAGTATGTAAATGTTTCCAAATGGCTAAAGTTGACATTACATTCTATACAGATAATCTTAAACACTCAACATCGTTCACCTACAGCCACTGTACATCCCACTGGTCCAAAAGCAGCCTACAACAGCTCGCTCCATCAGGAGGTGGTCCCCTGAGATGGAGAGTGCTCTGAGAGACTGTTACAACACCACGGACTAGGATGCACTGTTCAGCCCGCATGGCGAGGACATAGAGGGGTTGACACACTGCCTGACGGACTATCTGTGGTATCCCCTGTTAAGACTGTCCACTGTTACCCTACTAACAAGCCTTGGGTAACGCGGGAAGTCAAAACTGTCCTCAACAAGAAGAAGGCTGCCTTCAGGAGAGGAGACAGGGAGGCCATGAAGGCAGCACAGCAGGAGGTGAAGCAGTGTGTGAGGGAAGCAAAAGACAGCTACAGGAGAAAGGTGGAGCAGAAGCTGAGAGAGAACAACATGAGGGAGGTCTGGGAAGGTGTGAGGACCATCACTGGCCTCAACACAAAGACCAGAGTCCTTGGGGGAACAATGGAGAGGGCAAACGAACTGAACAACTTCTTCAACAGGTTCAACCAGTATGTGCCCCCCCAACCCCTTCTCTCACTGCAGCCACCTCTGCTCCTTACCACACACCTCCCCACAGACAACACAACACTGACAACCCCCCCACACACCTCAGCACAACCCCCACCCCACATCACCACAGACCAGGTCAGAGAACAGCTGAGGAAGCTCAAGCCCAGGAAAGCAGCAGGGCCGGACCAGGTGTGTCCAAGGCTGCTGAAGACCTGCGCTGCTGAACTGGGAGAGCCACTACAGCGGATCTTCAACCTCAGCCTGCAGCTAAGGGAAGTGCCCACCCTCTGGAAGACATCCTGCATCGTCCCAGTGCCCAAGAAGAACAGCCCAGGAGCTGAATGACTTTCGGCCCGTGGCACTCACTTCACACCTGATGAAGACGTTGGAGCGGCTCTTCCTCGGCCTCCTCAGACCTCAGGTGGAACATGCCCAGGATCTCCTGCAATTTGCCTACCAGTCAGATGTTGGTGGAGGATGCCATCCTCTACCTGCAGCACCGGGCCCACTGCCACCTGGATAAGGGCAGTGGGACAGTGAGGATCCTTTTCTTGGACTTCTCCAGTGCCTTCAATACAATCCAGCCCCTTCTGCTCCAGGACAAACTAAACAGCATGGGAGCAGCACCTGGTCACCTGGATCACCTGGATCTATAGTTACCTCACCAACAGGCCGCAGTATGTCAGGCTGAAGGACACCGTGTCTGATACTGTGGTCAGCAGCACAGGAACCCCTTAGGGCACAGTGCTGGCCCCTCTTCTCTTTACCCTGTACTCCTCTGACTTTCACTACAACTCGGAACTGTGCCACATACAGAAGTATGCTGATGACACAGCCATAGTCGGATGTATCAGGGACGACGGAGAGGAGGAATATCGCTGTCTGGTGAGGGACTTTGCTCTCTGGTGCCACACAAACCACCTAGAACTCAACACCTCTAAGACGAAGGAGCTGGTTATAGACTTTGGGAGGTCCAGACCAAAGCCGAGACCAGTCTTACTAGAGGGAACTGAAGTTGAGGCCGTGGACTCCTACAAGTACCTCGGGATGTGGCTGGACAGTAAACTGGATTGGTCAAAACACACCAGCCACCTGTATGGGAAGGTGCAGAGAGGATGTACTTCCTGAGGAGACTGCGGTCCTTTAACATCTGCAGCAAACTGTGGATGTTCTACCAGTCTGTGATCGCCAGTGTCCTCTTCTACACCGTGGTGTGCTGGGGAGGCAGCACATCCAAGAAGGACACGTCCAGACTGGACAAACTGATCAGGCGTGCCGGCTCTGTGGTCGGCATGAAGCTGGACTCTCTGGTAACGGTGGCAGAGGCGAGGACACTGAACAAACTGCTGGACATCATGGACGATAGCAGCCACCCTCTACACGCCGTCATCAGCAGCCAGAGGAGCCTGTTCAGTGACAGACTGCTGCTTCCCAAGTGCCGGACCAATAGATTCAAGAACTCCTTTGTCCCCCACGCCTTCAGACTGTACAACTTCTCGTTGGATGGTGGGAGGTGACACAGGACAGAGGGAAGGAGTAGTGACCCCTTGTACTTTTCTGGAAATATTCACACTTATCAGGCCAAACCATATAGTGCAATATCATATCACTGGTCAATCTATCCACCAAATTGCTATATTTTCCTTTTGTGTTGTATTTATATTCTTTGTTTTGTATTTATATTTTTATTACATTTACTGTGTACCTTGTATTTAATTTGTATTTTTTTGTGTATGCTTACTGTGTGCCACTTTTTTGCCTGTGAGCTGCTGGTAACTTTAATTTCTTGAGGGAGTCTTCCCAAGGGATCAATAAAGTACAAGTCTAAGTCTAAGTCTAACAACATTTTGCAAAATGTTGCAAAATATAATCACCAGACAAAATTCTTAATGTTGACAGAAAATGCTGCAAACAAATATTCAAACAAATTCTGTATTAGTTTGGAAGACCTGAACTATTTATCATTAAACTTTGAATTGTTTTCTAGTCAAGCTGGATGCCAGTGATGTCTTTAATTTCACTCTACAAGAAAATAAAAAAGCAGCTTGATAAGCCCACAGTCTTTACCTACTTTACATGAAGATATTGAAGGTTTTAAGAAGTATGTTTAAGAAATAAAAGCACCACCTTAAACCAGTGCTAATGTCTTATAGAATTTATAAATAGTGCCCCAAACTAATAGATATATCTGTAAAAAAAAAAAGTGAATAAACACTTACAATTGGTTTTTAATACATTAATCCAGAAAACCTGTTTTGTCTTCAAACTGTACTTTTTGGTCTGATCATAATTGATACATAAGCATATGCTGATCGTCCTCTTTGTGAATCTGAGGTCACAGCAAGGAGGACTGACAGCAGACGCACTGAGCTTTGAGTCTGTAGTGAGCTTCACAGTAAGCAGAGACATTTGACAGCCAGCTGTGGGGTTTGAGAGGACCATTAATAAAGTACTATGTTTTTTTGTTTGTTTGTTTATTTGATTGATTCAAACATTGAGGCTAAGAAGTTATAGTCTGGTGAATTGGGTATATTCTGCAAGGTTTATAGATGCTGCCATAAACAGGGATCCTTTGGGTCAAACTGAAAATCTAAAATACTAACATTGGCCAAACCTGAGCTGCATTATCCATTGCTGCACTAAAAAACCCTTTTCAGTGGAACTCCGCCGCTTCACAGCTTACTATTTGGGGGATTTGTGTTTGTCTGTAGAATATAACTTCAAATTATTCAAGGAAATTTTGACAACAAATAGTTTTTTTTTTTT